AGGAAGCCGAGGACAATCTCCCGTTGGATATGCTGGACGCGGACATTGACTGGGAGAACAGCGCATTCGCAGGACTAAAACGAAGGCATGACAAGAGTGAGTCCCGTTCACGTCGTTTTTGGCCCGTTCTGACCTCCTCGTTGAATCTTCCATCTTTACTTCGTTTGAGAACCACTTGAGCTTTGTACTTTCTGTTATCGAAATACAGAACTGTGAAACTAACTCCGTTAACCAGTTTCTTTTTGTGATGCGACACGCATTCTGCCGCCACTTAAAATCATAGTGGATATTTGGATGCGATCTGCTCATACACAGATTCGCGGAGGCCAGCCGATTTGTAAATCGCTGCTTGTCCACTCATGGTTAGGTAGGCTTAGGCTATTTGGAGTGTTTACTTCTCCCAATATTGTTTTTCTTTGTTTCTAATTGGCATTACGGCTTTGCCGGGTTGTCAGGGATAGAAGCTGAGGGCTTTGGCTTGAGTCGATCCAGGATCTCCCGGGACCGCAACGGGCTTAAACCATTAAAGCGAAATGGAGTGTTAAGAAGGCGGGGGAAATCGGGAATTGAACGGGACCTAACTGCATACCAGTAGACTAACCACATCTTCGTTAAGATCTACCCGGAGGGGGAGTGGGGTACGTTTTAATTTTCAAAAGCGTAGTCTATGGCACTTTCCCTATCCGGACGCTGTCCAGTCCCTTCTCCTTCCTTTTTTCTTCCTTCTTCTTTTCATTCCTTCCTTCTATCTTCCCATTAGGTTTTAGTGACGTCAATTTGAGTGGAACATTTGTTTACCTGCAGAGCTCAAATCGGAAAGTGATGGCGACAATATTGGTGGTGACGATATCGAAATGAAGAAAAGAAAGTTTGATGGGCAGATAGATGATAATTTGGAGGAAATGTTGCCTATAAAATTGAAGGTAGGGCATCTTTAGTGGTTGTGCTGACTCACCAGTTCTGTAGAAGAGCAATGTAGGACGGAACTCTTCTTCGACCAACTCGTGAGAAAAAGAGTGCTGACAGTTCTGACGAGGAGGAGCGAGAAGACGAAGGAGCTGAAGAAGTCAAACCAGAGATGGAGGTACAGCAAGTCAAGGGTTGTCTTTATAAACATTTCTGCGATTTGATTTTCAGGACTACTCGGGTTTGAGTGCTACTGAGCTGCTAGGCAAAAGGAAAGAACTTCTAGCTGAGTTCAAACTGACTATATCCACGTACGCCCATCAACTCCACGTTCGCCCATCAACTCCTTACGAATCCTCAGGAGAATGTGAGTGTTATAACGGTCACGGTTGAGCAGCTTTCATGTTTTGCGACTCAAGTACTACTGCTGACCGCCACGGCTAGTGGTTGAATCGCTGGGACTGCTGATTCGATCGCAGTCAGGATAGAATTTCTTCCGCAGCTGTTCGGCTTGAGAGGGGCAATTTGCACTTTCGCCAAATTTTTTTTGCTACTTCATGTTGAACAAGAGTATACGGGCCTCACCAAGATGACACCTGTCAACTGTTGTGAAACCGCGAAATGGTACCAATGCGCCCCTTTGATTATTAGAGTTTGCAGGTCTTAAGATGGCTTGGTCAAGCTTTATTGAGTACCTCTTGGTGGGCCCACACAAGTCGTAACGCCGCTCATTCTTTCAAGAACCGTTTGCGGCGGTCCAGCGATTAGCCCTGGACCGGAGATGGCCACTGTAGGATAATAACGAGATTCCTGCATCGCGTGACTCAGTCGCCTTAGTTGCGAAGTACGAACATAGTCTTACAGTGTTTTCAAGTGTACAGCTGAAATCCTAATGCGCTACTGTAGTTGAGGGGACATACGGCGACACGACTAGGTGACCCCTCGCTCCCCATCCTCATCCATAGAGACTGCTGATGGCCAGAGTCTGTACGGTCTGGTCGCTGGACACAGAGGAGCACGCTCAGGGGCTTAAATAACCTCCGCACTTCCTCGTCCCAAGGCCCAGAAAAGCTGGTTGTCTCCTGTGCCCCACGAAACCGCGCGTAATTTCTTGCATCTCCTCCCCCCTAGTCGCGGGGGAGGGAGGCTCAGGGACTGAATAATCCTATCTGTGCTTGGAAAGTTTTTTAAGAATTCGCTTTCCTTTTCTTCTATTTAGTCGCGCGACCGAATGGCCCTCCCTTCCCCTAACTCGGTAGCGGAAACTAAAACGTTGTATTAGAAAAGAACTCAGAGTAAATAAATTTTAGATATACAAGTTGCGTGACCTGTTCCATTTGTGTCAAGGAGAAAAAGTACATTCCTTAGTACGTGAAAGTGTACAAAAACTGGCTGTAGTCAGTATACTTCAGGTAAGTGATCCGTTTTTGTTGTTTTTTTGGCTCTGCTTCATCATTCCATTCTGTTGAAGGTTTTGATCGACATCATTCCTGGATACTCTATCCGTGAACTAACTGCCGAGGAGAAGAAGCAAAAAGTGAAGAAGGAAACAAAACGCTTGCAAACGTTTGAGGAGTCGCTGCTGCGCTATTATCTGAAGTTTCTTCAGTTCTGCGAGAAGATGACAGGAAGTATGTTGACTGTTTTTTGGTTCTTCTACTTTTTCTACGGGTCATTCTTGGTCTTTTTGGAAAGTTTCCTGGGCATATGGGACTCGGAAAAAGCCCCCTAGCGCCACCAGTTTTTGATTTCGAGCGGTACTCTGCTGCAAAGCGGTTTTTCTGTAGTATAGCGGACATACGGCAGCTGGGCGGGGCTCGTACTTCGCGATTTTGAAGATTTCGAGAGATTACGCCGCAAAATGGGATTTGAGTGGACTGTTTCTCCCCTCTCTTGTGTTTTCGGAGAATCTGAGATGTGAACACTTGTCCCCGTCTGATCTTTTGCCCCGGATCCTCCAGGTCAATGCGGCACCTTTCGCCGCAGTTGGGCTTGGAAGGGCAGCAAATGCTACTCAGCAAAGCCAGTACAGATCGCCTTGTAGAGAGCTGTACGTTCTTGGGACCAACATGGCTCACTTCTACCATTTCGCGACCTCACAAGAAATTGCAGGCCTCAACAAAATGACTTCTTTTAGTTCATATGAGGTGGCAAAAAAGTTTTCGAAGTGCAATATGCCGCCTCGAGCCGAACAGCGCCCGCATTTCTTTTCAAGCTCTCTCCCAACGTGTCGATTCTTCCGTATCGCAGATTCTCCCAAGCCGTGGTCTCCTCACATTAGCAAGTATAGGAAGGGCCTGGAACAGAACGCTTATTCTAGTTTAGACCCATCAATATACTAGCCAGCTGGACTCGAGTTTTACCTGCCTATTTTTTGTCTAATTGGAAGGGATGTATGTCAAGACAATCGTAATTCTCCGCGCTGGAGGGCGTCGCGTGCGAGGTCGCGCCTGTAAATGACGTTGTTCCAGGTCTTAGATGGCGCCAATATACAGTGTATAACCAGAAATAGCCATAAATCCCTACAATTTCACAGTCTAAGTGAAATACACTGCTCCAGTCGACAGGCTAGTGCAAATTAGAAAAACGCTACGCCCACGCCGCGTGCGGCGCAGCAGCAGATTACGATTGTCTTGACCGTCTCCCAGTTCGAAGCACTAATGTAAGATCTTTCAGAGCTTGATACTAAGGGTCGAAAGCTATCGGAGGACTCTTTCTCATACAAACTGGGAATGTTATGCTTGAAGTCAATGAGTAGGCTCGTCATAGCTGCACCTCATTTTAACTATGCTACTAATATACTGTCCTCACTTATTCGTCTATCGCTATGTAGTCTACCAACAGTACGTTTTCTTTCATTCTAGCAGAACACGCTGGTCCGATTCCGGTCACCTTTAGCATTTTAGGTAGTGTCTGAAGTGTGCGATACATTACATCGGGTATTCCATGAGGATCTTCACTTACGGATGTCATTATTCGGCGCTCGAAGCATAGCTTCACTTGTAGCCAAACGCAAAGGCCACGTTCCACCTCAATTAATTGGCACATTCCTATCCCTAAACATCAAGGTTCTGTTCATTTTACCTCTAAGAACCCTTCAAAGTTTGCGGAATTTGCCTTACTATTCGCTGTATCCTTCCATAAATTATCTGTTTAGGAAGTAAAAAACGAAGACAAAAAGTCAGGTAAAGGTCGAATCTTTGCAAAAAGAGCTATGATCAAGAAGGAAAGAGCTAACAAGACCGCAAGAAAGGTAGGCGGTATCGAACTCTTTAATAGTTTTTTGTTTAACTTACTTTGCACTGTTCATACTTTGTGTCAAGCTTAGCTTACGGCAGCGTTTCGAGTGTACGCTAGAGCCACCTACTAGAAAGTATGGATATCGGTCCAACCCGCGCCAGCGTACGCCAACGTCTAGGACAGTATCGATCTAGCGCACGCCAGCGACTAGGAAAGATCTAGCGCACGCCAGCGTTTTCCAGGCAAAGAGCTTGAGACAAACTGCCCGCGAGAGCCCGCTGTACCCTGGCATACGCTGGCGTACGCCAGATCGATACCTACACTTTCCTAGCCGCTGTCGCTGGCGTACGCTGATGCGAATTATGAGCGCAGCCTGACTAGATAGTTTAGTACTGTCTCAGCGTAATTTTCTATAACGAAAAGCGGCGGTACCGCAGTAG